TGTCTTGAGACCGATGTCACACTGTCTTGCTTACTGTAGCTTTATAACAAGTCTTAAAATCAGGCAGTGTCAGATCTGTAACTCCGTGCTTCGATTTCATGGTGGTTGTGGCTATTCTGAGTTCTTTGCCTTTCTGTAGGAAATTTAGACACAGCTTATAGATGTCTACAAAACAGCCTGATGAGATTTGGATTGGGATTGCATTGAATCTATAGGCCAGTTTTGGGGAAAGCATTCAGTTTTCACCATCAGCTCTGATGCTAGCTATCATAGGGTTTTCATAGATACCATTTTTCAGGCTGAGGAAGTTGCTTTCTTTTAATAGCTTGCTGAGTTTTATCAGGAATGGATATTGAATTTTTTTCAAGTTCTCTCTCTGTGTCTATTGAGTTGATCATGTGGGGTTTTTTCCTTTTAGTTTGTTGATATGGTAAATTATACTGTTTGGATTTTTTATTAACTATTTTTATCATCCACCCCATCACCCAAAAACACAACAATAGCGACAGTAATGACAGCTGATCCAGGAGGAAGAAATGGGAGTAAACTATCGTAAGGTTCTTATACTGCATGTGAGGTGGTATTATACCACATGAAAGAAGTCTCATGTTATTATCATCATACATTTTCCTTCTACCTATGTTTAGGCTCACACTATATTGTCAGTATTTTTGTTTAAAAGTCAAATTTTTTTATAGAAAATTAAATAGTAATAAGAGAATCTTATATATTTACTGAGCAGTCACCCTTTCTGGTACTTTCCATTCCTTTGTGAAGATCTTTAGTCATGTGCTGCATAATGACGTTTGGGTCAATGACAGACCGTATATTGGATGGTGGTGCCATAAGATTAGTACCATAGAGCCTAGGTGTGTAGGAGGCTGTACCATCTAGGTTTGTGTGAGTACACTCTATGATGTTTGCACAACAACGAAATTCCCTAATGACGTATTTCCCAGAACGAGTCCCTGTTGTTGAGTGACACATGACGGTATTTCCACCTGGTACCATTTTCCTTTTGCCCAAAAGACTTTCTTTAGCATTTCTTGTAGTGCAGGTCTGCTGGTCATGAATTCTTTCAGCCTTTGTTTGAATGACAAAGTCTATCTTCCATTTTCAAAGATGCTTTTGCTGGGTCTAGAATGATAAGTTGTTAATGATTTTTCCCCCTGAATACTTTAGAGATGTTGTTCCACTCTCTTCTCACGTGTGTTGCTTCCAATAAGAAATCTAATCTCATTCTTATTTTTGTTCCTTGTGTGTAACGTGTCTTTTTTCTCTTGTTACTTGTAAGATTTTCTCTTTTTATTAGTTTTGATCAATTTGATTATGCTATGACTTGGTATAGTTTTTCTCATGTTTCTTGTGCTTAGGGTTCATTGACCTTCTCAGATCTGTGAGTTTATAGTTGTAATTAAATTTGGAAAAAATTTGGCCATTATTTCTTCAAATATTTTTTTTCTGTCCCCTTCCTCCTCCTTTTGCGTCTTGAGTTATATGTGTATTTGACATCTTGAAGTTGTCCTACCACTCACTGATGCTTTCTGTTTTGTTATTGTTATTTTCTCTGTGATTCATTTGGAGAGTTTCAATTGCTATGTCTTCTAGTTTATTGTTCTTTTACTGAAATCATCCAGTGTTTTGTTTTTTTCCATCTCCGATACTGTAATTTTCATCTCTGGAGCAGTTTGGGTCCTTTTTATTTCTTTCATTGTCTCTACTTTACTTTCTGAACACATGGAAGTCAGTTCTAACAACTGTTTCAATGTCCCCTGACTGCTCATTCTCTCATCTGTGTCAGATCTGGGTTGATTTTGATTGCTTGCCTTTTCTTTTCATCATGTGTCATATTTTCTTAATTCTTTGCAAGGCTGATAATTTTTTATGGGATGCCTGACATTGTGAATTTTACCTTGCTGGGAGCTGAATATTTTTGTATTCCTATTTTTGAGCTTTGTTTTGTTACGCTGTTTGGTTACTAAGAAACAGTTTGATCCTTTTGGATTCTGTTTTTTAAGAAGTCAGGCAGGGTCAGAGCTGTGTTTAGTCTGGGGCTAACTTTCCTCCACTACTGAGGCAAGACACTTTGGGTACTCTCTCCAATGCCCTGTGAACAATGAGTTTGTCTGCTATTCCGGCTCTGGAGAGCTCTGGGGGCTGCTCCTCCAATCCTTTGGGTACATCTGTCCAGGCACCCACAGGCCTGTGTGAATCAGCTCCCTGCCGAATCCTCGGGGCCTCCCCAGAGGTGCTCTCTCTGGGCAGCTCTCTCTTCTCTGGTCTCTGTCCTCTTGATCCTAGCTGCCTCGGCTTCCCTGGGCTTGCAGCTCGGTCTCTTCAACTACTGAGTTTGCTGGGTTCCAACTGGTACCCTCTCTCTGGGCCGTGACCTGAAAATTCCCTCAAGGCAGTGAGCGGGGCGGTCATAGGTCTCACCTCCTATGTTTCTCTTCTCGGGGATCACTGTTGCTGGAGGTCCAGTGTCTTGTTTGTGTCCCTTACTGTTGCTGCTGTTTGAGGTTTCTGTTACATTTGGTTCCTGTTACTCTGTCTTGGCTGGAATCGGAAGTCCCAGCAAATGTTTCCCGAGGCATGCTTTGTGTCCGGCACTGTTCTAGGTGCTGGGGACCCATCAGCGAATAAAAAAAGACCCTGCCTTCGCCCTCCGGCCGCTGATGTAGGCGGCCAGGCAGGGGCTGAGTGAGTCCAAGCACTGCCGCTAAAAGGCCACACAACTTTGGGCAAGCCACGCCACCCCGCTGAGCGCAAGTCCCTGGCTCTTAATAGCTGACGTATTCTGAGCACTAACTACTGTTACTGCCATTATTTGTTCATCAGTTTGTGAATCATGAGAAAGGGACCGTCCCACCCAGAAAGCCTTTTGAAAAGAACTCACAGTCGTACCACTCGATGTCGGTTGAATTTTATCTTTATTTGTTGTATTGTAGAGGCTTAACGTTTTCCTCATGGAGCAGAATTTCCTTAGAGTTTAGTGTGATGACTTTTTGTGTTAGAAAGGTCATGCTTCCCGCTCATGGTGATTTTTCATGTCTGCTTCCTAAGAAAAACAGAACTCAAGCCTCAGAGGGTAGAAAGGAGGGACGTTGAGATAGAAAATTGCCGAGGGTGAGATTGTCAGATAGTGCAATCTTTCTGGAAAGCAGTTTGGCAGATTGTAATCAGAGCTTGGAAATGCAGTTTACACTCTTGACTTTGTAATTCCACTTCTAGAAATGAGTGGATCCTAAGGAAATAACCCCAAATTGAGAATGTCACGCACCACCCTGGTAACTGCAGCATTACTTGTGGTGGGGGAGAATTACAAACATGGTAAATGTCCAGCAGGAGGGGAAGCAGCGAGTTAACAGGATGGTCCGTATGCTGGAATCTTCTGTCACAAGTTGGATTTGTGAAGAGTTATAAAAATATGTTCCAACAGTAAGCAGCAGGATACAAAATTACGAACACGGGACGATCTCAACTCTGATTGGAAACAGGCCCATGGACAAGAATTAGAAGGAAAGGTCCACAACCCAAAGTCGTTCTGTTCCCCAAGGACATTTTCCCTGCTTCTATACTTTGCCAGTGTTTCCAGTTTTCCTGTGACAAATGGGTATTAATTTTATCTTTAACAAATTAAAGAAAAAACCTAAACTTTTAACGTTCTTGTAATCCTGCGGAATGAATGGCAGATGTTTAGAGAACAGGACTATTTTAAGAAAAGAATGGAATGTGATTTAAAATGCGAGCTTGTTACCCCTGTATACACAAAATGTTCAAAACACTTATCCTTTGTATTCTGAACATGGAGAAATTAAGCAAAATAATTTTACAGAGTCTTTAAAACAAAAGTTACCACGTATTGAGGCTTGTGCTGGGTCAGAACAGAGCCAAGGGCTTTACAGACTTTGGCTCACACAGTCCTCCCGGCAGCCCAGGAATCACGGCCTTCTTTTACAGACAGCTCAGAGGATCAGAAAAGGCAAGCAGCCTGTCCTGGGTTGCACAGCCCTGAGGAGCAGAGTCAGGGTCTCCAAGTCCCTGAAGGAAGCCACAGCCTCTTCGTTGCCGCCTGATTTACTCGTTGCTGTGGTCGTTCTGCTGGTTCCAGAGGGGTTGGGAGGGGGTACTGCCTGGATGACGGAGTTGGGGACCAGCTGTGCTTGGCCTGCTCACTCTACAGAGGCGTAAACTCAAGTTCAGAGAGGACGACGGCTTTGCCTGGGTGCCCAGCTTGCTGAAGCCTGTCTGTCCTCCTGGCTCCTGCAATCGCTGGTGCTGGGTGAGGCCCTTATATCCACGCAGGGTGGGGGCCTTGGAGTCCACTCTGTGGGCGGGTTTGAGAAGGCTAGCTTTACACATTGTCTCTTAGTGATGTCGCTCCCTGACAGCAGCTCTTGTCTGTGCTGTGAACATGCCCAGGATGACACAGGCCTGTAATGTTAATATAAGCAACACAGCACTTGGTGGTGAAAATCAACTTTGTGTGTGTGTGTCCACCTAGCATTTCATTTCTTGAGCTCTATCCTAAGAAATTCATGTAGAGATGTTCACGAGAGATGCTCAGAGACACCCGTCATGGTGGCCGAGCTGCAGGGAGCCTGGGTGTGGGTCAGCAGGGAAGGTAAGCATACGGTACAGCCGTTACATTGGGCAATGCAAAATCTACACAGCAACGTGGGAAGCATTGTCCCTGAGGCATCGTCCAGAGAAAGTCACAGAGCAACGTGCGCGGTGGGGCCCACACTCTGTGTGACCTGCGTGAGCGTGATGAGCATGAGGGTCAGGGAGGGGAGGCAGGAGTCTCCCTCTTTAGGTATTTCTGGGACGTTGGAGCTTTTTGTAGCAATTGCGCAGCAAGTGTGGATGTGTTACCGTATCACTTTCGTTGTCTGTAAAGAACGGTAAAGTGGACTCCATGTGTTTTTCGTATTTTCCAAGCAGTAACTGACAGCCGCCGGCTGGCACTGTGTCTTAGCGCACTTTCTCGTCTGTTTCAGGACAACGTGTTAAACATTATCAACCAGATCATGGATGTGTGCATCCCCCAGGACCGCGCCCCCCGGGATTTCTGTGTCAAGTTCCCTGAGGAGATCCGGCACGACAACCTGGCTGGCCAGCTGTGGTTCGGCGCTGAGGTAGCGGGCAGCTGCCTGGGTCCAGGGTCACAGTGTTGGGCATTGTCCAACTGTTTCTCTATGAACCTCACCCCTGTGCACCTGCAGGTGCAGGGACCCGCTCTCTCCTCCTCCAGGGGTCCCATCAGCCACAGGTTCCAGATGGCATGGTTCTGAGCCTGTTAGGCCACAAGCCCCTTTGACGGTCGGGGGAAAGCCGTGAACCTGCTCCACCAAAACTACACGAGCAAATATAGACACGAAATTTCACATGTGATTCTTATGAGTTCTCAGGCCCCAGACCTGTAGGGCCTAAAAGTGGTTCTCGTAGCAACAATGCTGATATTGAGAACAGCATTTCCCCTCCCCCAGCAACAGGCATGTTCATTCCCGCCCTGGGGGCAGGGGAGCTGCCTTGGGACCTTACTCAGCCACGACTCACAATAACTCCTCAGATCTTGATCTTCATCTCCCAACAAGGAAACTGAGGCACTGAGGGGAAGGTGCCCAGCTCCTGTAGGTGACAGGACCAGCCTCCCCCCAGCCAGCGGTTTCCTGTACCCCCATCTTGTGGACACCCCAGACTCTTACCCTGGGCTGTGCCCTGGCATGCTGGGGTGTGAGGTCCACAGCCTGATGTCCATGCCCGTCTGCGCTGTTCCCTCCTCCGTGCCTCTGTTCCCGATGAATCCCTGGAATGCCCCCGTCTTCCTCTGACAATGCCTGGCCCTTGTGCCCATTTCACCCCATCCCTGCACCCACCCGTCCCACCCTGCTCCCCTGAACCGCCTGGTTGAACCTTGTTGCTGCGGCTCCTGTCAGGCAGGCCATGCCTCCTCCTAGGCTCACTTTTCACCTCTGTAAAGTGGGCCCCAAGGGCAGGGGCAGCTGTGGAGCCATGAGACGATGCAGGTCCAGTGTCCCGTGGGACACATGGGCACTGGGGCGCCAACTCCTCTGTGCAGGGTCCCCGTACCGGCCAGCTCCACGCTCCCCTCCCAGGGGGTCTGGGAAATCAGCGACCCTGTCCCTCTGTCCCTTGGGAAATTGCCTCTCGTCCCACCTCTTCTCTTGATCATCGCTGATGGGGTTAGCTGATTGAATGGTTCTGGCCCAAAGCTGGTGAAGCCCCACATCCACAGCCCAGAGCGGGCATTGGATGCGTCGCCCCTCAGCCAGGAGCTGGGTCTGACGAACGCCCCACGTTACTGAGCGTGTAGCGCAAGCTGGGGTGACCTACGCACCCCACACGTGCCCTGGGAAATGCTTCCATAAGCTCAGGGCAGGTGTGTGTGGATCTGCGGGCACCAGGGGGCCTCCTTACTGCTCAGGAGCCAGAGGATTCCCACGCTGATGAGTGTCGGTTCTGAGGAAGGTCTGGTTTCTCTGAGCAGCAAGCATCTGTGGACACGAGGTGTCTGTACTTCCTAGAAAGGCTGGCGATCTCTGGGAGCCCTGGTCAGCCCTGAGAGCCATGTGTCTGGAGCACAGCCCTGAAGCTGGTGTGTGGGAGCTCCTGGGCTCCCCCCGTTGGCCTTCGGGCTGGGCGAGGAGGGGACAGGAGTCACATGACTGGGGGTCCCCTTCCTGGAGCCCCCAAACCTGAGGGCCTCAGTTGGCCTTCCCCTCCCTTGCCTGCCCCTGGGGTCTGTGTGAGGACCACATCGGTCACAGTGAGAGTATTTATTGCCACCATGATTGCTCTGGATTTAAGAGAAACCAGAGGGACCAGGTGCCAGATGATGGGAATACGGGTCAAGGGGGTTCCCAAGAGAGAGGACCTGGGGGAGGGGTCTCGGGATGATGGTCACACCTCGGCCTGGCCACTGTTCTGCCTTTTGCCTTCCTGTCCCGGGTCTCCTTGGCTTTGGGGACCACAATCCTCTCATGGTGAGGGAGTCTTTCTCAGTGTTGGCTAATCGAATTAGAACTCTGCTCTCTGCAGAGCTGGAGGAAGATGTGCATTTACAGTAAAGAACACCAGTGGGGCTCTGCAGCCTCGGGACCCACGAGGCCCATCAGGCTCCACAGTTGGGCTCTCAGGATGCGCATGCTACCCGTGACTCCTGAGAACTGCGGTGCGTGCTCCGGGGCCGTTCCTGACCCGCGTTCTTCTGCCTGCAGTGCCTGGCCGCCGGCTCCATCATCATGAACCGCGAGCTCGAGAGCATGGCCATGCGCCCGCTGGCCAAGGAGCTGACCCGCAGCCTGGAGGACGTGCGGGGCGCCCTGCGTGACCAGGCGCTGCGGGACCTCAACACCTACACGGAGAAGATGAGGGAGGTGCTGAGGCATTTCGACGTCCTGTTTGCCGAGTTCGAGCTGAGGTGACCTGAGGGCCACACGTGTGTGCTGGGGCGTGGGGTGACGGCCTTTGCTTTATGTGGTGGCGGGGTGGTGGGGGGCAGCTCTGCAGGGCTCATCCTGATGTTCCCAGCCAGGGAATTCTGCAGAGGGAGGAGCCGAGGCTGGTTCAGGGCCCTCAGCTGGTGTAGTTAACCCCTGGGGGACACGATGTCTGGATGTGCGGGACGGGGGTGGGGGGAGTGAAACTTTTCAGAGAGAGGAGATGTGTCTTGGAGACAAGCAGAGGTGACCCAGGATAAATGAGACCCCAGGTGTCCACCGCCCCACCTCTGCCCTTCCCTGATATACCCCAGCGCTGGAGCCCTGGAGCTTCCTTCAGCACAGTCAGTGCTGCCACCATCAGCCTCTGCTGCTCCTCCTACCCTCCTCTCTGACCTCCCATCTCTGACCTCTGCCTCTGCCTGCAGCCCACGCCTGCACTTACCATATCAGGCTTGCTCCTGGTCGCCAGCTGCCCCTTCACCCCAGCTGTTCATCCGTTCACTCCACAAGCCCGTCTCTGTGCACTCAGACCTGAGCCATGGCGTGGGCAAGGATGAAGAGGCGCTGCTCTTGGGGCCCCTAACTCTGTGGGTGGGGGTGAGGGTGAGGGCACCTCCCTGGGCTAGGGGAGTCTGCACGGATCACACGGAGACCTCCCCTCAGCCCACACGCTCACTAGCTCCGGGGCTCTGGGGGGTGGAGTGGGGAGCATCCACCTGCTCCATGCTCACCGCTCCTTCTTGCTGCTTGTCCCCCTGCCCCACAGCCTGGGGAGCTGCTGCTGCTCCTTCAAAAGGCAGAGCCTGCCCCATTCCTCCGCAGTTAGTGCCGCCCACCCCGCCCCACAGGCTGCACTCACCTGCTCCTCCAACACGTGTGTCCAGCGGGGGACGCGGGCAGTAGGCCCGGGGGACCTCGGGGAGAGGGCTCTGGAGAGGCCCGTGCCTGGGGGCAGGCATGCCAGGAGCCTCAACACACAGACGCTCACGGTGGGCAAGGAAAAGCAGGACCCCAAATCCATGTCCATGGCGGTCTCTGTTAATAAGAATTGTCCATCTTGTAACCTGTCGACCTCTAGAAGGAGATGGAGCCAGAGGTCAAAGGCGGATCTTTAGGAGGTGGGAGTGCCCACAGCCAGTTTCATTTTCTCTGTCCCCTTTCTGTCTCCGTCAGATTTTCCAAATGAGCTTTCATAACAAGGAAAAATTAGTGATTTACTAGGAAAGAAACTGTTCTCACTCGGGGAATGGCTGGACAGACTGTCAGTTTCCTATGCCCGCTCAGCAAACATCCTGTGAGCCCCCCCGCCTAGCCCGTGCTGCTTCCCCCCAGCCGCTGAGTTTCGCCCACGGCCAGGGCTCAGGGGTTGTTCACCCACCCGCACACTCGTTCCTTCATTCATTCGTTCTTTCATTCACTCGCTCTCCCATTGCGGCTGGTCTCCAGGCAGGGCACAGTCAAGGCAGCAGGCAGTGATGGTTCCAGGATGGTCAGGGCTGAAATCGGGCAGGGCTGTGGGGCCCTGGAGGCCTGACCGTGGGAGAAGTTTTGATTTGAAACACAAACGGCCATGCTGGCAGCTGTGTGTTCATGCAGCTGTCGCGATGGGCCGTGCAATGGGCCGTGCCGCGGTCAGAGTGAAGTAGCTGGGTTCACTGAAGACGCCCTTGTTTCGGGAAGACTGGGGGCTCCAGCCCGCACTCACTCCCTCACTGTATCTGCAGCTACGTCTCAGCCATGGTGCCCGTGAAGTCCCCAAGGGAGTACTACGTGCAGCAGGAGGTCATCGTGCTGTTCTGCGAGACGGTGGAGAGGTGAGGTGACCACTGACTGGACAGGGCAGAGGGTGGTGCTGGGAGCAGGGGCCGCCTTGCCCTGGGACGCCTGAGGAAGGAAGGCACCAGCCCCCTTCCAGTACCTGTCCCAGACCCGGGGCCTCCACGCCACTCCTCACACCTGCCCAACCTCATTCCTCAGCCCACCCCCCATCCCCCACCAGGTCCCTTGTCTCTGGGCGCAAAGGGCAGCTGCAGGTGGAGTTCATGTGATAGAGGACGGGAAGCCAGACTTCTCACTCCTCTCCTCACCCCCTCACCCCCTCACACCTCACCCCCTCACTCCTCACCCCCTCACACCTCACCCCCTCACTCCTCACCCCCTCACTCCTCACCCCCTCACTCGTCTCCTCACTCCTCACCCCTCACCTCCTCGCTCCTCAATCCTTATGCCTCACTCCTCACCTCCTCACCCTTCACCCCTCACCTGCTCACTCCTCCTCACCCCCTCACTCCTTACCTCATCACTCATCTCCTCACTCCTCTCCTCCTCACCCCTCACTCCTCACCTCCTCACCCCTCACTCCTCACTCCACACCTCACCCCTCACCCCCCACTCCTCACCCCTCACTCCCCACCTTCTTACTCCTCACTCCTCTTCACTTCCTCACCTCCATCTTCCTCACCTCCATCTTCCTAATCTCCTCACTACTCACCTCCTTGTCTCCTCACCTCCATCCGCCTCACCTCCTCACTCCTCACTGCACACCTCCTCACTCTTCACCCCTCACTGCTCTCCTCCTCACTCCTCATCCCTCACTCCTCACTCCACACCTCCTCATCCCTCACTCCTCACCCCTCACTCCTCACACCTCACTCCTTACCTCTCACCTCCTCACTCCTCTTCACCTCCTCACTCCACACTTCCTCACCTCCATCTTCCTAATCTCCTCACTGCTCACCTCCTCATCTCCTCACCTCCATTCCCCTCCTCACCTCCTTATGTCCTCTCTTCCTCACCTCCCCAGGCCAGGATGGAGCACTTGCTGGGTTTCAGGTCTGCTGAACAAGGTTTTAGGAGGGGAATCATCAATATTCTCATCATGCCTTGTACAGTAGTTTGAAGTCAGATATTCTGAGTAGACTTTGGGACTAAGATTTAACCTAGAATGTTCCTCCTATTTGACTAGTGCTATGATATTAGCTAAGTTTTGAAACTAATATCACATCATAAGTTTGTTACTTTTAAAGACAGATTATTCACTGTTTATGTGTTGAGAGATATTTTAAATTGCCAGAAAATAAGGTGACAGAAAATACCTTTATTCTGAGCCATCATGATGCCAGCAGCGCCTGCTCACGGAGCATACAGAAAGCCATTTGCGTATGCCTGGGGTGTGAGAATAAACCCAGAAGAGCAGTTTTAGTTTCTCAGGGAAGTGTTAAATTGTTTGGGGTAATGTTTTAGTTCCACATTTGTTCTTGCCACTTGAGTTGTTTCAATTTCCTGGTTAAGCAAGCCCACGACTGGATTAGCTTTCTTATTTTGTTTGCTGGACATCTCAGCTGTCCTCGCCGGGCCCTCCTCAGCAAGCGCAGCTTTTACCGGCTCCCCGAGTCCTCTGTCCTCAAGGTGGGAGCAGGCAGATGGACGGAGGGGAAGGTCAAGCGTGAGCTGCCTCTGTGGGCCTCGCAGAGCAGGGCGTGGCGCTTTTCTCAGCAGCAGCCCTCTGCACATGCGAGGGCTGAGGGGCTCATGTCCCCCTCCTGACCGTCCGCTGAGCATGGACGCGGGTGAGGGTTGAGCAGGCCACTTTCTCAACACCAGTCTGACCCATGGGTGCGGGCAGTGGCCCAGGTCCTCATCCCTTCTCCCTTTCTCTCTCCCTTGGCCAGGGCCCTGGACTTCGGGTACCTGACCCAGGACATGATTGACGACTACGAGCCAGCCCTCATGTTCACCATCCCCAGGTTGGCCATCGTGTGGTGAGTGTCCCTCCTGCCTGGGACAGTCATTTTGCCGAAAGCTGGCAGGACTGTCAAGTCTGATGGTGCCAGGCCCCTTCTGGGTGTTGATAAATGGTACTTACACCTCCTGACAGGTGGCTGTTCAGTCACCCAGTACAGTCACCAGGCAGTCCTGCTGTCGCCCCTCAGCACATGAGGAACCAGGTGTTCTGAATGCCTCCTATTCACCCCATTGGGGAGGGAAGGATCCCCCACCCTAAACAGTACGAGATGGCTGAACACCTGACATCCAATGCTGGGTAGGTGGGATCGACAGTCACATATATTCCCAGCCCAGGGGAGGAGGACCCTGCACACCATACAGAGCCACAGGGGTGCACTCAGGAGCACAGTGACCTGGCCAGGGCTGTGGAAGAGGCTTTGTAGTAACAAGAGGGTGAGGTGCCCCTGATTCCCGCAGGAGGATGTGATTGTCTTGTTTGGATAATTCCACAGCTGGCAGGGAGGTGCAAACTATTAGGTGAAGACCAGGGGAGTGCAGCCGGTCTGGCTGAGGGGGAGTGCCTGGGGGGAGCCTTTCCCACTGTGTGGGGAGCACATCTGGCAAGAGTAGGGGAGCTCAGGGTTAGGCCTTTGGGGTCTTATGGGCTCAAAGATGCTAGGGCAGCTTGTGGAGTTGGGCCTTAAATACACCAAGGCAGGAAGCGCTCTGTCACTTGCCGAGTATCTCGGGGCTTCTCAGAACCAAGGTCAGAGCCCAAGTGTTCTGGGCCTGGTCCACTGCTTCTCAGCCACACAAGGCCTGCCCTTCCTTCCTGCCAGGTGAGGAAGCATGGGGTGCATGGTCATGGAGGGAGGAGGGGAAGGAGTGAATAGGCCATAGAGAGCAAGATGGAGGGCGTATGGGGCCACAGCTGGGGAGGGGCCCAGTGGGTGGGGAGGGGCCCAGTGGGTGGGGAGGGGCCCAGTGGGCAGCTGATGTGCAGGTGTGGAGCTGGGCAGAGAGCAGGGGACAGGGAGTCCTCGGGACAGACCCAGTATGAGGTGCAGACGTCAGTGAAGTGGGCTGGGAGAGTGTGGGGCGGACACCGAGGCCAGGACTGGTCGAGGCACAGACCGTGGAGAGGCTGCTCAGAGGCCTCGGGGGAACTTGCTGAGGTTGAACACAAGACCTCTCCTGTGGGAAATGGGGGTGCAGCAGAGGGAGGGGTGGAGGGCAGGGGCAGTGTGGCAGGATGGGGTCAGCTTCTGCGACAGAGAGGCCTCCCTCAACCACAAGGAGCTGGACAGGTCATGTGCCGCGTGCAGGAGTGGAGAAGCGAGCTGGGCAGACCCCACCGGGGCTGGGCCCCGAGACTCTGGAGATTTAAATGCCACAGAGACCCCATGTGCCCTGGGCAGGACTTGGGACTGAAATGCAGGGAAGCCCTGGGTGATGAAGGGCTGGGAAGCTGGGCAGGTGGGGCGGGGTTGCAGGCTCCCAGGATTTCAGGGAAGCCTGACCTGCTAGGTATTGGTCCAGCCCCCCCACCACACCTGCGTCTGCCCCAGGCTTGGGGACAGGACTGCCCCCTGCCTCGCTCTGCCAGTCTGCTGGTTCCCAGAGCTGTCTTCTCTGGGAGGTCTCCAGGGCGGTCTTTGGAGGGCACCCAGCCCTGGGGGCTTTTCCAGACCCCACAAAAGCCCAGCACCCTGGCCCTTTTATCATCCTCTTCCCTCGAAGAGAGTTCTCTTTTTTCCTGAGTTTCCAAAACAGGAAAAGCAGGAGTGGATCATGTCACACCAGGGATGACACTTTCCAATCGCCTTCATTTATATTGCCTAGAATTTGAGAATCTCCCTTTGCCTGAAGACGCAGAAGGTGGAGGACAAATGTCCCCAGTGGGCCAGTGGAGTGGCCTCGGGTGGAGGTGCCCCTCACACACCTATTTGTTACATTGTTTTCTTTCCAGACAAATGACCCTCCATGGCCAAACTCATTTTAAGGAAAACAGTGAGCATTTTTGGTGCTTTGTTTAAAAACCAAAACAGTAAAGCTGCTTCAGTCAGGGCCTTACTTTTACGTGGCGCCAGGGTCTGTGAGCCCGTCCCATGAGAGAGGTCCCCCTCCCCCATCCTGGCAATATTTCTCTTCTCCCTTCCCTGGCCCGGGCCTTGGCGTGCAGCCTCTAGCCTGAGGAGGGGATGTCGCCGCGAGGTTGGGCTTCCCAGGCCAGACTTCCTTTGGAACCGCCTTAAGGGGCACTGGGGTGCCAGTATGGGCACGCCCACCCTGCCTGCTCTGACCAGCCACTAGGCACTAGGTGGCCTCTGCTGCCCACCTGCCCTGCCCCCACCCCCGCGGGCAAATGTTGGTCAAGCATTGCACTGGGCCAGGCAGCGTCTTGGATCTTGGGCATATGAGGGACTTACACTGTCTTAGAGGGAACCTATTCTAAACCTCTCGGGAACACCCAGAGACTCTCTCAGGCAGTTTTAAATGAAAACCAGTCTTAAAGTAAAGGTGAGGCATCAAACAGCCCGAGTGCCATGTTTCTAGATTCTTACACTAGCGAGTTCATTCAGCTTTTTACCAGCCTCCCTGTTGCTGTGAGCTGGAGCCCGGGGGGCCGCAGGACAGTGGTCTTTCTGTTCTTACTGAGCCAGCCTCCCGGGGCCACTTCTCTCTGACCAGCATCACTGTGCCCTGTTTGTGGACCTCACGGCCGCCCTGCTGACATCTGAACTTGTGCTCCCCCTCTGTCGAGGCCGGCAGCTCACCAGGAGCCCTTCCTGTGGCTCCCATGCTGGTGGAGACAGACCTAGTCCCAACAGTGCCACTGGCGCGACCCCTGCCCGGCCCCTGCCCAATCTCCCCTTGACCTTGCCTCACCTGCAGCCCTTCCTCCAGCTGCTCACCGCCTCCAGCAGCCCGCAGAATTGCTTATTTTTTTAATTTATTGAGCTATAATTCACATACCGCATGACTCACCCACTTAAAGTGTACAATTCAATGGTTTTTAGTAAATTCGCAGAGTTGTATAACCACCACCACTGATTTCAGAACATTTTCAACACCCGGAGCAGATTACCTGCACCCACTATAATCCTCTCTCCCAAGCCCCAGGCAACCACCTGTCTGTTTCTGTAGATTTCCTATTCGGAATAGTTGATACAAAGGGGATTTGTGTTATTTTCAGGTCTCCCCCAGGGGCCTGTGAGCACCACAGGGCAGGAGTGCTCTCCTCCTTTTGTCACTCCCTCCCCAGTGCCTGGCATGTGGTAACATGGCGAACTTATGCGGAATGTTGTTGCATTGGTCTGACAGGGCACAATATGTATTTATAAAGATTCTCACTGAGGCTTGAGTTCTAATCATAAAAATTTGATGGGAGGGGATATCCAGAACTAAGGGATTGTTTAAAAATGATACTCCAGCCATTTAAATAACATTGGAGAAGAATCTCAAATGCCATGGAAAAACATTCCTAGTGTGTTGAGTACAAAAACTTGTTTCCAAACGCTATGTCTCTGCTTCACAAAATTTCTTAACGTAATAGGTATAACTTTTGGAAACAGAAATCAAAGCAATAAATCTTAATTTTTTATTTTGGTGAAATATACATAACATAAAGTTTGCCATTTTAACCCTTTTCAAATGTCCATCGGTGGTATTAAGTACATTCGCATTGTTGTGCAACCCTCCCCACCATTTGTCTCCAGAACTTTTCCATCGTCCTAAACTGAAACTCTGTGCCCCGTGAACAATAACTCCCCATTCCCCCGTCTCCCCAGACCCTGGTAACCTCTATTCTACTTCCTGTCTCTATGAATTTTATTTTAGGGACCACATATAAGTGGAATCATACAGTATTTGTCCTTTTCTGTCTGGCTTATTTCACTTAGCATGTTTTCAAGATTCATCCATGTTTGCATATGTCAGAAATTCCTTCCTTTTTAAGGCTGAATAATATTCCATTGTGTGTAATTAAATGTTATTTTAAGGAAGAGGTTTACAATAACATCCAAAAGAATAAAATACCTAGAAATAAATTTAACCAAGGAGGTGAAAGACAAGTACACCGAAAACTACACTACATTCCTGAGCATCACAGACCTAATGCAGTGGAAGGATGTCCCCAGTTCATGGACGGGAAGACTTGGATAGTTAAGACGACAATACTCCCCCAAGTGATCAACAGACTCAAGGCGATCCCTATCAAAGCTCCACTGGCCTTTTTTTGCAGAGAAGGAAAAAATGTTCCTCAAATTCATAGGGAACCACAGTGGGCCTTGAATAGGCCAAAACTATATTGAAAAAGAAAAACGAAGTTGGAGGGCTCACACATCCTGATTTCAAAACTTACCTCAAAGCTACGGTAATCAAAAGTGTGGTACTATCGTGAGGAGACCAATGGAATAGAATCGAGAGGCCAGAAATAAACCCAAACTTCTATGGCCAATTGGTTTTCGACGAGGGCGCCAAGACCATTCAATGTGGAAAGAATGGTCTTTTCAACAAATGGTGCTGGGACAACTGGACATCCGCTTGCAAAGGCTCGAGGTTGGACTCTGGGATGATTAATTTCGTGTGTCAGCTTGCCTGGGCCACAGTACTCAGATATTTGGTCAAACGTCGGTTTGTGTGTTGCTATAAGGTATTTTTAGGATAAGATGAACGCTTAAATGAGTAGACTTTGAGTAAGGTAGCTTACCCTACATAATGCGGGTGGGCCTCATCCAGTCAGTTGAAGGGCTCAAGAGAAAACAGACTGAGGTCCCCAAGTAAGAGGGAATTCTACCTCCAGACTGGCTTCAAACTCAAGCTGCAACATCGACTCTTTCCTGGGTCTCTGGCTTGCCAGCCTACCCTGCAGGTTTTGGGCTTGCCAGCTCCCACAATCATGTGAACCAATTCCTTAAAATCTCTCTCTTCTCCCTCTCTCTCCAAATATATATACATCCACATGTATACACACACACACTCTCTCTCTCCACATATATACACACACATATATGTATTATGTACATGTGTATATACTCACACATCCTATGGGTTCTGTTTCGCTGGAGAACTCTGACTAATACAGAAGGTAAATCTTCACGTTCTCAGATTTGACACCAAAAGCATGAGTACCAGATGAAAAAATAGATAAATTGGACTTCATCAAAATTAAAAACTTTTGTGCATCAAAGGACGTTATGAAGAAAGTGAAAAGACGACCTAAGGAATGGGAGTAGGGGCACCACCGTGCTGGGCGTGCTCCCACTTGCCCAACTGAGCTGGACCTGGGCCAGGCCCCTTGCTGTACGCTGTCTATGCCAAGGCTCCCTGGGGATCCAGCCACCTGCCTGCCAGCTCAGCTGTGGGGGCTGCCTTGCCCCTCCTTGGTGGCAGTATGGACACAGGCCTGTGTGGCCTGTGATGGCAGGAGGCCTGGATTACCTGCCCTGTTGGGCTGCATGGGACCCAACTGCTTCCTTCGATGGCTTGTTCCCAGGCCTCATTCCCCCCATCTCCCCCACCCTTCTACCCCCACTGCATCATCACCTGGGCAGCCAGATACTGAACAGATGTTTGCTGAGCACCTTCTGGGATATGAAGACCAGCCTCTCCCTTGTCCTCAGGGACACCCAGTCATGGGGGCACAGACAACTTGGCCGTCCCACTGGCCTTCTCTCTGCCCTGTCCTTCATGGTCAGCGGCACTTCCCAGAGCTGCTGAGCTGGAGGGCTCGGCTGGAGTACAGCACTTGGTGCCCTGAGGGCTCCAGCAGCAGAGAGCACGGCTTGATGCCTAGATGAAGCTGAGGGGATGTCCTCAGGTCCCCTGGCCTCCCACGGGGTTGGGCACAGAGGCCCTGGAGGTCTGTGCACGGAGCCCTCCTAATGAATGGACTTTTTTCTGAGGCTCCAGACCAGCCTCGGCCAACCCTGGGCACCGCTCACACTCTGTGGAGGTGAGCAGGAGGGCCCCTTCTCCCGGCATAATCGCTGCTTTCTGAAAGGTGGGATGCCAGGAAGCTGGGGCAGGGATTCCCCAAACCCACCCCTTTTCTGCCCATTTCCACTCTGCCTTTGGGCCCACTGGATTTACCTACGAAGTTAAGATTCTATCTCAGAAAATTGTCCCCCATGCACTGTTAATTTAACCAGAACCCTCAGCTCATGTAAGATCCATAAAACAGATGGGGAGGAACGGAAGCCTGGCCGGCCGACCTCTGCCTTTCTCCCTTGTGCTCAGGATACAGCCCCTCATCACAGCCCCATCCCTCCTGCTGCCCAGGGTGAGCCGGCCACTCCACAGGTCTGGTGGCCGTGGGTCACAGCCTGGCGTGCCCCAGGAGGCAGTGCAGCCCATGTTTTTCCTGTGACTTTTGAATCTTGAAACCCAGACTTTTTAAGGGAAAAACAGTGTCTTCATTCAATTTTGTTTATCAGTTTTTCTCACTGAACTGGATGAGTTCCTGAACACAGGGACTCTGTTGGATGGTGATGACTAGATCCCAGAATGATAAGATCCCGTTCATTTGCAGAGAGAGACATGCAGGCGGTTCTCGGTTTATGCAAACAAGCCCACGAGGCCCTCACCTGTGCTCCAGTGGAGGACTCAAGGAGACAGGTCCCGTGTTCATGGGTGGACGTTCCCTGGGCACTTGCAACATGCCAAGGCCTGAGCTGTCTGGTCCCGGGAGACCCAGGAGGAGGCACCCAGAGAAGGGTCCTCCAGGGATGGGTTGGCTGTTGGAGGAGCAGGCCCAGACATGGGTGATGGCGCCCACTTGGAGCGGGGCAGGGCTGTGCACAGTGCGTGGTGAGATCACCAGGCGGGGTGAATGTGGTGCTGCCTGCGGAATTGGGGGCCCCCTGGAGGTGGCATCTGAGCAGAGTCAGATGGGGCATGGCGCCTCAGTCTGGGGGAGAGGGTGCCTCTCAAGGCACAGGGACGCCCTGGAGAGAAAGTCAGCCCTGCCCGGGGAGTGACAGGAGGCTGCCTCCTGCCTTGAAGAGTGCTGGAGCTTGGGCCAGACCTCTGGGAGGGAAAGGTGGGTTTGGGGGCAGCCTGAGCAAAGGGAGGGTGGGCCACGAAGCACGCAGTTCGTTGTGGGGACCTCGTGGGGCTCAGGAGTGAGCGAGCAGGCAGGGGCTTGGAGTGGATTGTCACAGCCTGGTATGGACCAGGGAGCCAGGAGATGCTGCGGTCAGTGTGAGTAAGAAAGACTCAGAGCAGCCCCTGGACTTCAGGGATGTGGACGGGGGCGTGTGAGGTCTGAGTTCTGGGCGTCCGTGGAGGCTGGGAGGACAGCCTGGAGAGCACGTTTGTGAGAAGTCTCACCTGTCTGTGCAGGGTGCCTGAGATGCTCATCCCTGACCTGCTGGCACCCACAGGGCCCAGCCCTAGAGGCTCAGGGGGTGCACTGGCCTGGGTCCAGGGCCAGCGATGGGCAGAGGCTGTCCTCTGTCCCCGTGCAGGACCTCGGTTCTCACCTCCAACTTCTGTTTCGCTTTTGGAGTAAATGGTTTCAGGCCTAATTCTCGCAAACCTCTACATTCGTGTTAAATTTAAACACAAATTCAGTTTTTCCGTTTTTAAGAAGGTAGATTTTAGTAACAAATCTTGATGCTGGTTTATCTGATCGAAGCAGTGATGTGTGCAGGTATTATATTTTTATAATTATTTTATGATCCTTCAAATGAACAAAAGCTAATCAACTTAAAAGGATGATAAAGCCTGGGTAATAATTTTCATTGCTTTTTTCTAAAGTTGAAGATTCGATCACAGGAGTGGAAGCATGTGCTAGTGCTGAGCGTGATGTGGCCTCAGGTGTGGATGTGGGTGTGGTCTGGGCTCACCCAGGTGGCTGCAGGGCCTGATGCCACCCTGGCTTTTGTGTCTTGAATGCAGTGGCCTCGTGGTCTACGCGGATGGACCCTTGAACTTGGACCGCAAGGTGGAAGACATGTCTGAGCTGTTCCGGCCCTTCCATACATTACTGCGAAAAATAAGGTGGGGGTGCTGAGGCAGGATAGGGGGGAGTGGGGGGAGGAGGAGGGGAAGGGCAGGGTGGGGAGGGCAGGGTGGGGAGGGGAGGGAGGAGGAGGTGGGCGAGGGGTGCCCAGGGCAGTGTTTGCCCCTGAACCCTCCTTTATGTACAGGTGGGCACTTCTCCTCCAGTCAGTGGTGCTGACCTGGGTCTTTGTCTTTAGTTGTTGGTTGATAATGTTTAGTTCCCCCTTTTGGAACCCTATGCCTTTCTCTCCCCATGGAATCAAGCTTTTTTGTCGTTGGCCAGTGTCATTAAGACCTTTGGTGTAAAGTTTCCGTGATAAGACAGCAGCTGCCCTGGCTGATGGCCCCACCTAAGCCCTTTGTAGTGTCTCACAGAAACTTCTCCGTGGCCCTGTGAGGTGGACGGGGCCCATTTTATAGGAGAAGCTGTGAAACTGGGAGGACGGGTGCACCCGGGACCACACAGCTTGTGCCGGGAGGGCTGTCTCCCTGGGCTGTGGCTGGGGTCCAGGCTGGAACTGGTGCTGGCTCGTGTGTACCCCCCAACCTCCTCCAGGAGCTTTTCCTAGTTCTTCGACTAGTTTAGGGGGCGAAGTGTCCAGTTCTCTTGAGCGCCAAGCACTTCCCACCCCCACCCTGGCAGTCCCTGGGCAACTGGCCCAGGTGGCATCCCCTCGGACCCATCTGTGCTGTCCTGTGGCTTGGTGGCAGCTGGTATGGGTGGCGATCCTCTGCCCTGAGGGACTCCCCTTGGCCTTCAGCAGCAGGTCCTCCAGCCAGGCCCCCTCTCCTTCAGCCTCACTTCAGACTGGTGTGCAGCCCTCCCTGTAATGGCCTCTCTGAGCTGACAGGGGCCAGCTGTGGCCTCCTGGAGGCACAGGGCAGCCGGGGCCTGTGGCTGTATATCCTCTGAGCATCTCCCTGGCCCTGTGACCTTGGATGCTGAGGTCTTTCCTACCAGGGCCCCTAGTCTCTGGAAGTCCCCTTCCCTGGCTATTAGTTAAGCTGATGACCCCATGGACTTCTGCAACGTCCTTCCTGGGTTCAGTGGGACTGCCCAGTGCAAGGCAGCCTCAGGCATAGAGATCCGGGGACCGGGTTTCCTTTGCTGGTGCTAGTTACTTCAGGGAGCCCAGAGAACACCCTGCTTCAAGCTGCCTTTTGCCTCATGAGGAGCCAAAGGTGCTGTGAATCCAGACAGCGAAGAGTGACCCAGCAGGGAGAGTCACTGGGCTCGGGGCGAGCCACAGCCTGGGGTCCTTTGATGGGCTGCTTGGTCCAGACTGTGGTTTATCGGATAGATGTCTCCAGGCTGCTTCCCTGGTGCCTGGGCCCAACTGTGAGCAGCTGGGCAGGATGTGACCCCGGACCCAGAGGTCATGGCCCCTATTCTCCCTGGGTGTCCAGCTAGGAGAGGAGAGATGATGGATAACAATGAGACCAGGAAGGGAAGCACAGGGAAGACTGGGGGGTCCTGTGGGTGGGGGAGCTGGAGGGGAGAGGTGCTGGGTGCGGGGGACGTGGCAAGGGAACAGTCCAGAGTGTAAGAGACACATGTGACATACTCAGAAGTCTAACAACGTACGTAATTGGAATAAGAAGGAAGGAATAGAGAAAACGGATAGAAGCAATATTCAGATAAATAATAGCCAAGAATTTTCCAAAACTGAAGAAAAATCTCTGTCCACAGATTCAGGAGGCTCAAGAAAACTGCAAGCAAGATGAACACAAAACATACCTAGGTATATCATAGTAAAATTGCCAAAAACAAAGAAAAAATCTTAAATATAGCCACAGAAAAAGGACATATTACTTTGAAAAGAATGTAAGATTGATAGCTGTCTTCTCAAAAACAATGGACGCAAAAGGCAATGAAGTGATATATATTTAAATTGCTGAGAGAAAATACCTGCCAACCAGAATATTATAACCAGCAAAAATATCCTTCAAAAAGGAAAGAGAAATAATGAATTATTCAGAAACACAAAACTGAAGAAATTTGTTATCAGCAGCCTGCACATAAAGAAAAACTAATTGGATTTCTTCAGGCAAAGGAAAAAAATCTCAGATGGAAAAGTGGAAATGCAGGAGAGACTGAAGAACCTGATATGGACTAATATAAAGGAACTTGGACTGCACAAAACAATAATTATAATGTCTTGTGGAGTTCAAATTATGCATAGCATAGTTCAATATTTGAAAATAAAATCATTGTTCTGCTATATTAATTTTTAAAATAGGAAGAAAAACCAAATCATTTTGAAAGTTACAGAAAAAGGATTTGAAAATTCTACACTTATTTTATGATGCAAACATCTCTTAGCAAATTAGGAATAGAAGGGAATTTCCTCTGTGTGATAAAAGGTACATATATATACACACACACACACTCACACATACACATATGTGCACACATATGCAGTTAGACCCTTACCTAACACCATATATAAAAATTAAATCAAGATGGATCAAGGACCTAAATGTAAAACGATAAAACTTTTAGGAAAAAAAAATAGGACAGAAACTTTATGACATTGGATTTGGCAATGATTTCTTGGATGTGATATCAGAGGCACAGGTAACAAAAGAAAAAATAGACAAATTGGACTTTGTGAAAATTTCAAAATTTTGTGAATTAAAAGACACTATCAACAGAGTAAAAAGGTAACCCACAAGATAGGAGAAAATATTTGCATATCATATATCTGATAAGGGATTAATATCCAGAATATATAGAGCACTCCTAAAACTCAACAGCAACAAAACCAACAACTCAATTCAAATGGGCAAAGGACTTGAATAAACATTTCTCCAGAGAAGATATATGAATGGCCAAGAAGCCATGAAAAGATGCTCACCATCACTAGTTGTTAGGGAAATGCAAATCAAATTACAGTGAGATGCCACCTCACACCCATGAGAATGGCTACTCTCAAAAAAACAGAAAACAGTGTTGGTGAGGATGTAGAGAAATTGGGACCCTTGTGCACCGTTGGTGGGGGTGTAAAATGGTACAGCTGCTGTGGAAAACAGTATGGAGGTTCCTCAAAAAATTAAAAATAGAATTACATATGGTCTAGCAACTCCACTTCTGGTTATATACCCAAAAGAATTGAAAGTACCTTCTCCAAGAGATATTTGTACACCCATTTTCATAGCAGCATTGTTCATAACAGTTAAAAGGTGGAAGCAACCCAAGTGTCCATCAGTGGATGAATGGATAAGCAAAATGCGGCCCATCCATACAATGGAATAATATTCAGCCTTAAAAACGAAGGAAATTCTGCAATATACTACAGCATGGATGAACCTTGAGGACATTATGCTAAGTGAAATGAGTCAGTCACAAAAGACAAATACTGTATGATTCCACTTATATGAGATCCCTAGAGTAGTCAAATCCGTAGAGAGAGAAAGCAGAATGGTGGTTTCCAGGGCTGGGGGCAGAGGGAGTGGGGAATTAGTGTTTACTGGGGACAGATTTTCAGTTATACCGGATGAAGAATTAGGGAGTTGGATGGTGGAGATGGTTGCACAATAATGTGAATGTATTTAATACCACTAAACTGTCACTTAAAAATGATTAAGATGGTAAACTTTATAAGTATTTTATCTCAAAAATTTTTTAAAAATATCATCTATAATAGTGTCAGTAAATATCAACTACTTAAGCACAAATCTGAAGATGTCTAAGACCCCCACTGAAAGTTACAAAATATTATTGACATAAAATTTTAAAGACCTAAATAAATAGAGAGCCATTCCATATTCAGGGAGTGGAAAACTTAATATTGAGAAGATACCAGTTATTCTCAAATTAATCTATGAATTCAATGTAATCTCAGTCAAAAGTCCCAGGACGTTTTTTCTTTTCTTTCCTTTTTTTTTTTTGTTTGCAGAAATTGACAAACTAATTCTAAAATTCATGTAGAAATGCAAGGGGCCTAAGATAGCCAAGAAGAAGAAAATTGCTGGAGAAAAAGCACAAAGAAGAACGTTATTTATCTGTTCTGCTCTTGTTGGACTTTGGGAGGTTTCCATGAGTAATGCTGGTGCGACCATGCTTGGGACCATGGGTGTGCATTTTGCTGAGTGTGCTTCATAAGAAAGAACAATGCTGGAGACACTTCCCATTGTAAGGCTGTAGTAATGCAGACAGAGGTGTAATGCAAGGATAGACTTCTGATTTGTTCAACAGAATAGAGTCTAGAAACAGACCAACACATATGCGCTTCCCTGATTTGTGACAAAGGTTACATAGCAGAACAGTGGAGAATGGTGGGTTTTTTTCCAGTAAAGGGCTGAATCAATAAATACCCATATGACAAAAAATGTGGATCCTTACCACAATAATATACAGAAATCAATTCTAGATAAATTGCAGATACAAATGTGAAAAGTAAAACAATGAAACTTTCAGAGAAATAAATCAAGGAGAACATCTTTGTAACCTTGGAGTAGGCAAAGATTTCTTAAACAGAGCACAAAAGCACTAACTATAAAGAAAAAAATGTGATTTATTGGACTTTACTGAAATTAAAAACTTTAGTTTATCAAAAGATGCCATTGAGAGAGTAAAAAGGCAAGCCACAGAGTTGGAGAATATATTCAACAAAGAACTCAAATCCAAAAAATATAAAGAACTATCAATCAGTAAGAAAAAGATAGATAACCCAATCAAAAATGGGCCCAAGTCTTGACAGGTATTTCACAGAGAGGATCTCTGAGGGCCGAGAAGCACAAAAACTGGTGCGCAACTTCATTAGCTTGCAGACCAAAGCAATTTGAAACGAAAAGTGCCAAGCGTTCATGAGGGCGTGGGCAAGCAGAACTGTCAACCAGGGCTGGTGGGTGGTCAGTGGGTACTCACTTCTCACCGACACTCAGCGGCACTCTCCACATGTGCACTTGCAGAAATGCACACACACGTTCCCCAGGAGAGGCGCTCAAGGATGTTGAGTCACCGCAGCCAGAGCCCATCAGGCGTAGAACAGGTTCACAGCTGAACAGTGGTGTGTTTCCACTGTGGAAGGCTGTGTAGCCAGGAGACTGAATGACCCACAACAGTGATGAATCTCACCAAAGAGGGCAAAGAATCTAGCAAAGATCTAGCACAACAAAAACAGAAGAATGCTCCATTAAGTTTGAATTTCAGATAAACAATGAATACTTTGTTAGTGTAAGTATATCCCAAATGCCCCCCACCATTTGGGATACACTTACCCCCCAAAAATTCATACACTTAAAAAGTGTAGTTTATCTGAAATTCAAATTTGACTGGGTGTCCTGTATTTCATCTGGCAACTCTGAACAGACATAATATTGGCAAACAAAGCCTACCACAAAGCAGCACAGACCACAAATTCCCATTTATGCAGAGACCACCTCTGTCTTCAGAAGTCAGGGCAGTGGTAACGGCAGGGAGTGACTGGAAAGGCACGTGAGGGTGCCTGGGAGGCTGGTTAGTGTTTTATTTCTCGTTCTGGGTCCTATTTGCACAATGTATTCAGTTATAAAGATGCACAAGCTTCTGAAAAGTGCACTTTCTGTGTGTTTTCCATGACAGCACTGGGATGTTTCTCCTGGGCCTCAGACCACAGCTGGCCTGAGCTTTCCCCAGCAGAGAGGAATGCACGTCAGCCTGTAGGAACTGCTCTAGGCTCATCCAAGTCATTGTCCCTAAATTAACTCCATCTTTGAGTCTCCACTTCAATGCCCCTTCCTCCCGGAGGTCTCCCCAGACTAAGCCAGGTGCCGGCTGTACCTGCCCTCTGGTGGGCACCGTACTTTGTTGCAGTCCTCGTTACTGTAATTCAGTCATCATTCGTGTAAATATTTGCTTATTCTCTGCCTCTTCCAATGTCACCCCCAGGGCCAGGGACCATGCCTGTCTCCTTCCTGTACATCACCCAGGGCCCGGCACACAGACAGTGCTCAGAAACACCTGTTGAATAAGAGGATGAAAGTCTATATATAAACCAACATATCTTTTTTTCGCTCCTAAAAGTTTTTGTTAACACAGTTATCACATCCCCAAGAATCAGAACTTTCTTGTTTTCAGCAAGAAATTTCAGAATCTCCTTTTTAAGAAAGAAACCAGCCTAGAATCACAGTCATCCTTCCCAAATGGCCGTTGTCCCCACCCGCGGCCCGGAAGAAGCCTGGAGACCTGCGCCTCATGATGTGGTGGAGGAAACCGTGCCGTGGGAATTGAATTGCAAGCGTTTGACGCCCGTTGCTTCCCTGCTGGTGCAGACATCAAGGGCGCTGTGTCCACTCTTGGCCAGGAGGCTGGTGTGGCCTGGGGGCTGGTGTGGCTTGTGGGACCCTCACCCTTGGTTTTTGTCTTGACCTGTAGGGATTTGCTGCAGACCCTGACAGAGGAGGAACTTCACACACTGGAGCGGAACCTCTGCATTTCCCAAGACGTGGAGTTCCCCATCCGGGCAGACACCCAGGTGCCCCCGCCCCTGGCGCCTGCCTTTCCTGAGCCGCTTCCCCCTGAGGAGCTGCTCTCAGCCAAGGCCAAAAACCCGGAGGCGGAGCTGGCCTGCTCCATGCAGTACGATGACCAGGAGCTGGAGCAGCTCAACCGCATGGTTCACAGGGTCGGGGACGAGATGTCTTCCCTCCTCTCCCCGCCCAGCGCCTGCCAGTCCCCCGCGCACAGGCCAGGGCCAGAGGGCAGCCCCCGAGGGGAGTCCTCCCCAGGCAGCGCAAGGCTGCAGCCGGGCAGCGACGAGGAGGACGGAAGAGTGTTCTTCATGGATGACGTGGAGGGGGCAGCAGAGGCCCCGGAGGGCCCGTCTGGGTGGGCGGGCAGCACCCGTGCCGACCCCCAGGAGGGAGAGCAGGGTGGGGAGAGAGGAGAGGCGGGGGTCAGCGCTCCCACTGTGGCAGAGGAGGGGGACTTGAGCAATAACAACAACATCCAGGACGACAAAATGTGGGCGGTGGGCCCCAACTCCTGCAGCTGCCTGGACTCCCGGCCGCACCTGGATGGCTGGGAGGTAAGTGTGGACGATGCCGAGACAGCCGAGATCATCGCCCACCGGACAGGGGGCATGAAGCTCTCGGCCACAGTCATCTTCAACCCCAAATCACCCACCTCCTTGGACTCTGCTGTCACCACCCTGGAAGCCCCCGGAAATGGCACCTCCCCATCAGAGCCAGTGGCTGAGGGGCCGGAGGGTGGCTCCCACAAACTCAGTGCCGCGCCCACCAACTGCCTCCTTAACTCCTGCGTGTGCTGCGGGGGCTGTGGAGGCAGCAGGGAGGACGCTGTGGAGAGTGTGCGGGACAAGTGTAGCCCGGGCAGCGTCATCAGTGCCTCCTACGTGGGCTCGGCCAAGACCAGCGCCAAGGGCCCGGCCGCAAGGCTGGAGGAGGCCCAGCCCGCCCTGCAGGCATTGCCCACAGGCGCCCCGGACCCCCTGTCCTCAGAAGACGCCCCCGACAGGCAGGAGCCCAAAGCCCCGACTTCCAACAAGTGCCTGGCACACACCTCAGGTCCCCAGGTGGACGCAGCAGACGGGTTGCGGGGAGAAGGCGACGGCGCAAGTGGGCCACAGGAGCCTGAGGCCGGACAGCAGGACGAGGGGCAACCCCCGGCGGCCAGGGAGGAGAGTCGGCACGGAGAGCTGGCCAAGGGGGAGCCTCAGGCAGGCGACTCCAGGTAAGAGCCGGCTCACGGGGCTCGGTTGGTCCTCTTAACTTTGCATTCCTGGCGCTTCGCATGGGCTGATTCTCAGCGCCTCAACATGTTTCTGAGGGCCTCTCAGGCGGGTGGTCTGTGTGTGAGGGCAGGTGGGAGGGATGGCGGGTGGCACCAACGCTGAGGGGAGTTAAGCAGCTTATGTCAGGCCCTCCTGGGCCTGGTCACCGGTCCAGCTGAAAAGCGCCCCCCTGACCCCCCCATTTCTAACATTACAGGTGCCTTTCAGGTGATGTGGGCACAGTGCCAAGCCCTCAGCCCAACCCTTTCACCACCGTGGCCCATCTTGGCCCGGGCATGATCCACGTATAGGTGAACTGGGCCCTGGCCAGTAGGCGTGGCCGCCTCTGAGCACACTTTCCACTTCTCTTTACTGACCACTGTGGCCACTCGGCTCACATGGGGCTGCACTTAGCTGCACAGACCCTCAGCCTTGGGCTTGGGGCCCCCAGGGGGCCATGGCAGGATCTTGGACCACCCTGGGGTGGATTCTCCGGCAGTGGTCCCAGGGTTCTGCTCTGCTCTCCCCTGCACCCTCCTGCTCCTCTCCTCTCCTCCAGAGGCAGCCCACCAGGAGAGGCAGGCCGCATGGGGGTCTACAGGACCCTGGAACTTATACATCTCCCTAGACTCGAGATCATGCTCACTGCCCTTGTTCCCGGAACCTGGACTTATCCTGAATTAAGCAGATTCAACGAGCATTGACCCAGGCCTCTGCCATGTGCCTGCTCCAGCATCGACATCGGGAAAAGGAGGTGCCGGCCCCACCTCGGTGGTTCACACATGGCCATTGTATTGTCACTACCATTGGTCCTCTCACCAGGACCCTGCCTTTCGAGGTTCCCACTCTGGCTTTGACCGTGTCTGATAGGAGGTGGGAGGACAGGGAGGGGAGGGGGCTCAGTCTAGAGACTGGACAAGGCTCCCCGCCAGGAGCCATGGGGGCTGGGCACAGAGGGGTGGCCAGCAGGGTTGGGGAGGGGACAGGTGCACAGGAGTGACAGCCTTGTGCAGGGAAGGGGGTGTTCACACCAGGGGGAAGGAGTTTCTGGGATAAGGGGCAGATGCCCTTGTAGGGCTGTGTAGCCACCGCCTCCTTCTTCCGGGCCTTGACTCTCTGCAGCAGTGCATGGCCACAGTCCTTCACAGTGTGTGCGAGGAGCTGGCCAGGACTCTGCGCTGTCAGGGTGGCTCTTCCCTCTCTCCTCCCATGAGAGGAGATGCTCTGTGGCCTGGGCCTTGGAGCCCGGCACTCAGCAGGGGCCTTTTCTGTGTGGGGTCAGCAGTCACTCCCCAATCCCCTCCCCCAGCCCCTGGCAACCACTAGTTTTCTGTCTGTCTCCGTGGATTTGCCTATTATGGACGTTTCATATAAACAGAGTCACACCACATGTGACCTTGTGTCTGCCTTCTTTCACTCAGCATAATGTTTGCAAGGCTCGTCCACGTTGTAGCAAACAATACTTCTTTCCTTTTTGTGGCTGAATAATATTCTGTTGGATGGATGGACCACGTTTTGTTTAACCATCTATGAGTCGATGGGCGTGTGTGTTGTTTCTACTTTTGGGCTATTATGAATAATGCTGTTGTGAAAGTTTGTGTACAAGTTGTTGTGTGGTCATAAGTTTTTGATTCTTTTGGATGTATATCTGGGAGGAATTGGTGGAAAATATAGTAACTCTATGTTTGGCTTTTTGAGGAGCTATTACCTTTCTCCAAAGTGGCTGCAGTTTATGTCCCCACCTGTCATGGATGAGGGTTCCGACTGCTCCGCATCTTCAACATTACTTGTTACTGTCTAAGATTTTACTGACAGCCTTCCGTGCTTACTGCGCATCCCACCAGAATACAGTCAAGGGGCTGCTTTCACTCACTTGAAAGCGTTCCTCTCCTGAAGGTTGCACCCCAGTTTTACTCACAGCAGGTTTGTGTTTCATTTAGCATCAGATGTATAGAGATTGCCGTTTACATCTAATTTAATTTTATAATTACGTGACATACTTGTGCAGTCAAATCTACAGAGAAAGATACACTCAGAGAAGCCTATCCCTTCACCTTGTTCTTCCTAAAGGTAACAAGTTTAAATTTTTTAGTTTGTCTTTCAATTTTAAAAATATAAGCAAAGATGAACACTTGCACACGCACACACAAACACACACACACACGTTCCTCCTCCTCCCGTTCTTTGGCAAAGGGTCTCATCCTGCAAACACTCTTTTCCTTGCTTTTCTGAACTTCTAGCCTGGAGGCCTATCCATGGTAGTTCCTAGAGATGTCCTCACTTCACTTTTGGCTGCATGGGACCCCGCGGTGTGGCTGGACCAGTGTGCGCTTGGCCAGGCCCGCCGCTGGCCCTGGGTTGTTTCCAGATGGCGCGGTTACAGCCGGTAACACTGTGTCCAACCTCCTGCACACGTCCCCTCATCTTTGTGATAAAGCCGTTTTTGAGAGCCGAGCCCAGCTTCATCAGCCCTGTCCAGTGGAGCGAATTATTATCCACAACCCACTGGATGGCTTTCTTCCTCAGGGCCTCAGACTCAGTGGCCCAGACTTGATTGGTGAGTGAGTCGTTTTTCTGCAAGGCTGATGCGAAGCCATTACAGATTCTCTGACAGGACAGGTGGATTTCGGGTTTTGACCTGCCCTCTTGTTTTGGTCCAGGTGACAGCCAGTAGACACCTACTCTGTCTGGAAGCCCCTCCTGCTTTCCTGACGTGTCCCACCTTGGACACTGCTCGTTCATGTCACGCCCTCGGCTTCCCAGGCCTCATCCAGCTTAGCGTAAACATTGAAGCTGAGCTAAGGTAAGGAAAGAGAACCTGCACGGTGGCCTCAAGAGACGGTCCCATCTTCCAGGGAAGCTTTTTCAGAAGGTGCAGAGGGTCTGAGAAGGAAGAACGCAGCAGGTGGCCCAGTGATCAGGACAACTATGCATTTGGGCCAGGACCTTGGACAGTGGTGCCCTGGCCCCAACACGACACCAGGGACAGCTGGAAATCAGGTCAGCAGGTGGCGCCTGTCCCATCCATGGGCAGTGCATACATTGGGAGCATCATTCGTTCACATCACAAGCTGGTTCCTGGGTGGCTGAGCAAGGCTCCAGAGACCCACCTGGGGGCAAGACAGATGGCCCGACCTCATGGAGCATCATCTAACATGAATATGGAGGTGACAAAGCAGGGGTACTGTTTAAACAGACAGATGGACACACGACCAGCCTCACACAGGCAGAAGTTCACTAAAATTCCAATGGCGAGTTTCCTGAAGTCTGGTCGGTGTTAAGGAACGTTGGTGCAGGGCTTCAGGGTGAAAACAGCTGGTCTTATACGCAGGTGCAGGCGATTATCCCTCCCATTGGCCAATGGAGAGACTGAGACCCCACAAGGTTGATACCTGCCTTAGCTCAAAGTGCCCGGAAGAGGCCAGCGTCGCCTGGACCTCCTGCTGCAGCACGAGTCCATAATGCTGACCTGCTCCACCCCATAATGCCACACTCAGTTATCACTCACCAAGTGAGGAGCTGATTTGCCCTTGAGGCCCACTTGCTCGGCAGGTGCCTCTGCAGCCCCTGGATGTGTGGTGTGGGGGGCAACTAGTGAACAGCAGGCTTGGCCCTGAGCTCATGAACTTCCAGTCCCGTGTGAGTCAGAGAGGTGCAGCCTCAGGCGTCCATGTGCCACACATGAGCCAAGTGCCATGAAGGAAACGCACCGAGCTGTGGCAATGAGGCTGCTTGTCCCAAGCACACCTGGAGCATATTTTCCTGGTCAAGCAGAATAGAGCCTGCAGGTGGAAGGGCAGGGCTGCTGGGGTCGTTGCTAGACCAGCCAGAGGGCCTGATGCGGGCCAGGAGGTGTGTTCTCGAGCGAGGGTCCCAGCCAGGAGAAGCCCCCTCTGCAGTATTTTCCCAGGCCCTACCTTCAGCAGGCTGCACCATGGGCCAATTCTGCCCGTGCTGTTGCCCAGCGTGGTGGGGCATTGCCCTTGGCACAGTCCTGGGCAGAATGTTCCAGAACCATCCTTTGGCTCTTTTCTTTTTACTGCCTTCTTTCTTACCTTTTCTGTGCTCACAGATTAACCTTTTTGGGAAGAGTTAGCACTTTTAAAAAGCTTATTGTTCCCTGTCTGGGCTCACTTCATTATCCAGAAACTTCCATACTCTTGAAGCCTGCTAAATAAGTCACTTGTCTAGAAAATGGAAACTTGCCACATCTCATGTCCGTCTTTGTCCTTTCTGTGGACATTTTACTAAACTGTGTTTCCAACGTTCTTCCTTCTTGAAAAATAACACTGACGCTCTCTTTTTCCTAATTGTAAATATGGTCCCTGTGAATTGTAGAAACTTTTGAAAACATAAGAAAGAATAAAAGAAGGAAATAAAACTCATCCCAAATCCTATGAGCAGTTTTATTTTTTCCACTGAATATTATTTTATGATCATTTCTCTGCAAAGTTCACTGAAAACACAATTTTCATAGAATTTTACTCTATCATAAAGATATGTGCTCATTTAATCTGCGTTTTCCTATTTCCATATTTTTCCATGTTTGATTAGCCTGTGATCACTCTCCCCTATGGCTCTGTGTCAGCCTCTTCTGTTATTCTTTTAGAATCGATCCTCAGGAATCGAATCACCACAGGCTAGGTATGAAGGCTGTCGGGCTGCTTTCCAGAAAAACACGGCTTTATCGCCTCTGTGGTGTGTCGCCCTGGCCAACACTGACTGCCTTTCCCACCTAGAGAGGCATAACAGAAAGCCCCTGTTTTTCCGGTCTGCGCTTCTCTCTTGCCCGGTGTCCCTGCTCCTTTTATTCTTTTGCAGGGCACTGTTGGTGTCCTTTGCATATTTTCCCGTTGGGTTTTCATGTCTTTCTGACTAAGCTGAAAACGTCCCTTCTGTCTGGTGTGTTTAATAACTCTTCCCAACGGGCTTTTTGCCCTTTGATTTTGTTTATTGATGT